CCCCAAAACCCCAAAACCCCAAAACCCCATCAAATATAATAAGGATTATATTTTGATAGAAAAATAAAATAATAAGTAAATACTCATTTTTATATATATATAAATGTTTTCAAAGTTTTTAGCTGGCATCGCAGAATCATTTGGTTATCAAAATAACAATGAAACTTCTGAGTCATCGAATAAGACTTCTGAAATAACCTAATCAATAGATCAATCAAAGGTTCCTGCTAATCAGTTAAAACTAATTCATAAAAAGGTAGAAGAGAAAAATCAAAGAATCAGTTTAATGTAATCATCAACTGCTGCCAATACAGATAAAAAACATTAGAGGAATATAAAAAAAAATAGTCCTCAAAGAAAATAGCAAACTCATACAAGTAATTCCAAAAATTAACCGTAGGCATAATTATTTAAATAGACTTCAAGCAATATAATGCAGAAATCAAGTAGCTAGAGTTGGATTAACAACAGTGGATCTAATTTCTTATCTTATAAAAATGACAAGATTTAAGCTGATAAATAGTAAAACAAAGATGAGGAGATAAATAGATGTTTATCACCTCGATAGATGACCAAATAAATATGTCCAGCAATGACTCAGTCTTGTAAAAGGTTGCCTCCAATGTCGTTCATAAACTCTAGACTACTTGAATAAGTTGAGGAGCATTCAACCAATAGTAACGAAGAGGATATTCCAAGTGAAAGTCAAATTTTAATAGTACACAACATTGATAATAGGCTATAGAGTGATGTACTTGAGGAGACCATTTAGGAAATTTACAGTCAAAAGCATATAAACTTAGATTATAGTAAAATTTCATAGGCTTAATAACTGAAATCCAAGCGAGACAGTTTGCTTTCAAGATTCTCTAATAAATTAACAAATAAGTAGGAGTAATTATCAGCATAAGGGACAGAAAAGACGTCTCTCAACTCATTCACAAAAAATTAAAATGATGGTATTAATTAAATATTTGTGATAGAAAAAAGCAAGCAGGCAACTGCAACTACTACACCTTTGAAAAATCCACTTGACAACAACATAATTAAGGCTATGAGATATGAAAACTCTAACAAAGAAACTTCTGCCCTGAAGATATCAACATAAATTAACATGCGAAACTCCAGAGAAACGGAGAATGCCCTCAAAATTAATTAATCAGACTTATTTCAAAATGTTCACTATTAACTAACTCCTAATAAAGAAGTAATAAATGAAAATAGTAGTGACGGTGGAACATTTTTCCCCTCAAATCAGAGTAACTTCAATTATTAACCAAAGTTTTTCAGGCCCTCTCAAACTAATGGAAGCTAATCCTAATCGATGCAGCGAAAAGGCTCGATTAGTAATTAAACACTAAACAATAATTTTACTAATTCAACGTTTTAAAATGATAAAATGAGTTTCAATTAGAGCCCTTTGCTAAAGACTTAGATCAGCTAGCCAACTTTGATAAGTATTCAAGAGAAATTTTAGATCAATCCATTTAATCTTGATGGGGATGAATAGACTGACCAAAAGTAGAGTGTTTAAACTCCTAAAAATCAAATATAAATGAAAATGGCTATCAAAAGAGCTACAGTCCACTTAAAAGGGTATAATGCTCATACTAATGGACTGAAGAGTGAAGGTTCAGGAGGTGCTGAAAGAAGATTTACTAAAAAATCTGCACCAATGAAGAAAAAGAGTAGTAGAGTTATTTAAGCTAAGTGAAATACTCTAAAGATCAAATACAAATTTTGCTCCTACAATTTGATCTAGTAAGCTATTATTTAAAAAGTGGTCCATATTATAGATATAAATGGATTTAATTAGGCCTATAATTCAGATCAATATTTAAAAGCTAATCACTCAAGATTGTAAAATATAACCACCATGGGGTTTTGGGGTTTTGGGG